CGGCCGAGCTGAGAGACCACCCCTGCGCACCTCGTGTGGTGTCGAGAAAGTGTCACGCCTGCTAGGCTTTGCGCCAGTGTCGTGGATAGCGGCCGAGCTGAGAGACCACCCCCTGCGCACCCCCTGTGGTGTCGAGAAAGTGCCAGGCCTGCTAGGCTTTGCGCCAGTGTCGTGGATAGCGGCCGAGCTGAGAGACCACCCCCTGCGCACCCCCTGTGGTGTCGAGAGAGTGCCACGCCTGCTAGCCTTTGCGCCAGCGTCGTGGATAGCGGCCGAGCTGAGAGACCACCCCCTGCGCACCTCGTGTGGTGTCGACAAAGTGCCACGCCTGCTAGGCTTTGCGCCAGTGTCGTGGATAGCGACCGAGCTGAGAGACCACCCCCTGCGCATCCCCTGTGGTGTCGAGAAAGTGCCACGCCTGCTAGGCTTTGCGCCAGTGTCGTGGATAGCGGCCGAGCTGAGAGACCACCCCCTGCCCACCCCCTTTGGTGTCGAGAAAGTGCCACGCCTGCTAGGCTTTGCGCCAGTGTCGTGGATAGCGGCCGAGCTGAGAGACCACCCCCTGCCCACCCCCTTTGGTGTCGAGAAAGTGCCACGCCTGCTAGGCTTTGCGCCAGTGTCGTGGATAGCGGCCGAACTGAGAGACCACCCCCTGCGCATCCCCTGCGGTGTCGAGAAAGTGCCACGCCTGCTAGCCTTTGCGCCAGTGTCGTGGATAACGACCGAGCTGAGAGACCACCCCCTGCGCACCCCCTGTGGTGTCGAGAAAGTGCCACGGCTGCAAAGCTTTGCGCCAGTGTCGTGGCGGCCGAGCTGAGAGACCACCCCTGCCCACCCCCTTTGGTGTCGAGAAAGTGCCACGCCTGCTAGGCTTTGCTTTGCGCCAGTGTCGTGGATAGCGGCCGAGCTGAGAGACCACCCCCTGCGCACCCCCTTGTGGTGTCGCGAAAGTGTCACGCCTGCTAGCCTTTGCACCAGTGTCGTGGATAGCGGCCGAGCTGAGAGACCACCCCCTGCCCACCCCCTGTGGTGTCGAGAAAGTGCCACGCATGCTAGGCTTTGCGACAGTGTCGTGGATAGCGACCGAGCTGAGAGACCACCCCCTGCGCGCCCCCTGCGGTGTCGAGAAAGTGCCGCGCCTGCTAGGTTTGCGCCAGTGTCGTGGACAGCGGCCGAGCTGAGAGACCACCCCCTGCGCACCCCGTGTGGTGTCGAGAAAGTGCCACGCCTGCTAGGCTTTGCGCCAGTGTCGTGGATAGCGGCCGAGCTGAGAGACCACCCCCTGCGCACCCCCTGTGGTGTCGCGAAAGTGCCACGCCTGCTAGGCTTTGCGCCAGTGTCGTGGATAGCGGCCGAGCTGAGAGACCAACCCCTGCGCACCCTTGTGGTGTCGAGAAAGTGCCACGACTGAGATGCTTTGCGCGGTCGTGGGATAGCGGCCGGAGCTGAGGACCACCCCTGCGCACCCCCTGTGGTGTCGAGAAAGTGCCACGCCTGCTAGGCTTTGCGCCAGTGTCGTGGATTAGCGGCCCGAGCTGAGAGACACCCCTGCGCTGCCCCTGTGGTGTGTCGAGAGAGTTGCCACGCCTGCTAGGCTTTGCGCCAGTGGCGTGGATAGCGGCCGAGCTGAGAGATCACACCCTGCGCACCCCCTGTGGTGTCGAGAAAGTGCCACGCCTGCTAGCTTTTGCGCCAGTGTCGTGGATAGCGGCCGAGCTGAGAGACCACCCCCTGCGCACCCCCTGTGGTGTCGAGAAAGTGCCACGCCTACTAGGCTTTGCGACAGTGTCGTGGATAGCGCCCGAGCTGAGAGACCACCCCCTGCGCACCCCCTGTGGTGTCGAGAAAGTGCCACGCCTGCTGGGCTTTGCGCCAGTGTCGTGGATAGCGGCCGAGCTGAGAGACCACCCCCTGCGCACCCCCTGTGGTGTCGAGAAAGTGCTACGCCTGCTAGGCTTTGCGGCAGTGTCGTGGATAGCGGCCGAGCTGAGAGACCACCCCCTGCCCACCCCCTGTGGTGTCGAGAAAGTGCCACGCCTGCTAGGCTTTGCGCCAGTGTCGTGGATAGCGGCCGAGCTGAGAGACCACCCCCTGCGCACCCCCTGTGGTGTCGAGAAAGTGCCACGCCTGCTAGGCTTTGCGCCAGTGTCGTGGATGGCGGCCGAGCTGAGAGACCACCCCCTGCGCACCCCCTGTGGTGTCGCGAAAGTGCCACGCTTGCTAGGCCTTGCGACAGTGTCGTGGATAGCGACCGAGCTGAGAGACCACCCCCTGCCCACCCCCTTTGGTGTCGAGAAAGTGCCACGCCTGCTAGGCTTTGCGCCAGTGTCGTGGATGGCGGCCGAGCTGAGAGACCACCCCCTGCGCACCCCCTGTGGTGTCGCGAAAGTGCCACGCCTGCTAGGTTTGCGCCAGTGTCGTGGATAGCGGCCGAGCTGAGAGACCACCCCCTGCGCACCCCGTGTGATGTCGAGTAAGTGCCACGCCTGCTAGGCTTTGCGCCAGTGTCGTGGATAGCGGCCGAGCTGAGACCACCCCCTGCCCACCCCTTTTGGTGTCGAGAGAGTGCCACGCCTGCTAGGCTTTGCGCCAGTGTCGTGGATAGCGGCCGAGCTGAGAGACCACCCCCTGCGCACCCCCTGTGGTGTCAAGAAAGTGCCACGCCTGCTAGCCTTGGCGCCAGTGTCGTGGATAGCGGCCGAGCTGAGAGACCACCCCCTGCCCACCCCCTGTGGTGTCGAGAAGGTGTCACGCATGCTAGGCTTTGCGACAGTGTCGTGGGTAGCGGCCGAGCTGAGAGACCACCCCCTGCGCACCCCCTGTGGTGTCGAGAAAGTGCCACGCCTGCTAGCCTTTGCACCAGTGTCGTGGATAGCGGCCGAGCTGAGAGACCACCCCCTGCGCACCCCCTGTGGTGTCGAGAAAGTGCCACGCCTGCTAGGCTTTGCGACAGTGTCGTGGATAGCGACCGAGCCGAGAGACCACCCCCTGCGCACCCCCTGTGGTGTCGAGAAAGTGCCACGCTTGCTAGGTTTGCGCCAGTGTCGTGGATAGCGGCCGAGCTGAGAGACCACCCCCTGCGCACCCTGCTAGGATTTGCGCCAGTGTCGTGGATAGCGGCCGAGCTGAGAGACCACCCCCTGCGCACCCCCTGTGGTGTCGAGAAAGTGCCACGCCTGCTAGGCTTTGCGCCAGTGTCGTGGATAGCGGCCGAGCTGAGAGACCACCCCCTGCGCACCCCCTTTGGTGTCGAGAAAGTGCCACGCCTGCTAGGCTTTGCGCCAGTGTCGTGGATAGCGGCCGAGCTGAGAGACCACCCCCTGCCCACCCCCATTTGGTGTCGAGAAAGTGCCACGCCTGCTAGGCTTTGCGCCAGTGTCGTGGATAGCGGCCGAGCTGAGAGACCACCCC